ACTAAAAGAGCAATCGCACCAGGGTTCGTTTTAATCCAACCAAACATGTCAAGTGTGAACCCTTAGATTTAGTTTTAAACAAACAATAAAGCAATTCAAGCTTGAAGTCTCAAAGCACATACATTACAATAATAAGGAAAGTAAACCGATTACAGAGCCACTTCTTGTACCACCTGACAGCTGCAAATTCATTTCGGTGTTGATAGTGTTGAGTGTTGACATAGAAAGCAGAAATCTGAGGGCGTGAACAGCTCCAGGTTGAACGTCCTGGGTTGCCATCTTGTAATTACGGTTATGAACATGTTGTGAACGCAGCATATGCTTGTTGTTTTGGTTCAGCGATCGCTGACTGTCTAACTCTGCATAACCTCATGAAACACGCTGATGACGTGTGATGTCTGTCTGAGTTTGGAAATATATACATTTGACAGGCAACTGAGATTTTGGTATGGAGATACTGTAGATGATAGGGTCATGCCTTTCAGTATTGTGTGTATAGCACTGGAAGTTGTTTGCTTTTGGGATAGAGCGCTTGGACCCGGAAACTGTGACACGTGATGTCAGACTTAAAGGATTAGCTCACTTCAGAATTCATCCAAGATGTTCATGTCTTTATTTCTTCAGACGAAAAGAAACTATGCCAGGATTTTTCTCCATATAGTGGACTTCAAAAGGGATCAACGGGTTGAAGGTCCAAATTGCAGTTTCAATTCAGCTTCAAAGACTTTACACTGTAAAAATGAATATGCTTTATCTAATCAATAGAATTGTGGCAACAGATTACAAGCAATATTATTAATTAAATTTAACAAATTAGAATTGAGTAATAATGAATCAAATTATTCCTAAAACTAACCGACAGACGTCAAAGATTAATTAAGAACTATTTATTTTATATTGCCAACATTGAAGACACCTGATGTTAACAAGCAGAAATCACTGAAGGAGAAAACCGTAATTTTAAAACAAATACTGATCACCATAATGGTGACTTAAATCTGATTTTTTTTTTAAGTTTTACTTGTTTTAAATAGTTAACTATTAAGGAATTAATTTTATTCATTATTACTCAATTCTAATTTGTTACAAGCTTGTAATCTCTTGCCACAATTTTTTTGATTAGATAAAACATATTAATTTTTACTGTGTGCTAATCCCAGCCGAGGAATATGAGTATCTAGCCAAACCATCGGTTACTTTCTAAAAAATAAACATTCATATACATTTTTACCACAAATGCTCATCTTGCACTAGCGATACGCCACACTTTATTCATTATTCATTTTTATTTTAGCCTTTGCACGTTCGCTTTGTAAACACTAGGTCGGTACTTCCGTGATCTTTCAACGCTATTACGTAATGGGTGGCGTATCGCAGATCTGGTGCAAGACAAGCATTTGTGGTAAAAAAAAAAGGATTTTTTTATTAAATGCCCGATGGTTTGGCTAGATATGATTCTTATTCCTTGGCTGGGATTGGTAGAGCCTTTAAAGCTGCATTGAAACTGCAATTTGGACCTTCAACCCATTGATCCCTGTAGAATATGAAGAAAAATCCTGGAATATTTTCCTCAACAACCTTAATTTCTTTGGATGACGTGGGGGCACGAAGTACTTATTTTTATTTTTGTTCTGTTATAGAACAAAAATATTTATTTTGTACATCTCTTCTCTGATGATGTGTTTGCTGGCATGGGGGCGGGGCAAACTGTCACTCACATGAGATCCACCAATAGCAAACCACCACCATCCAATCATTTCCTGATGGAGAAAAACAAATCTACATCTTTTTCTTGTTTGGAAAGCTGTTTCCCTCAAACAGACGACAAGAAAAGACTATCACTACATCCATTTCATGCCAAGTTTGGAGATGCTGGATTGGAACAAACAACCAGCTAAACATACAAAAAAATGACTCGGTGCACCTTTAAATTCAAATTCATTCTTCATCTGGGTGGTTTTCTCAGCAAATATTGAAATTTGCATTTAATTTGTGATAAATGTAATTAATTAATCAGTGTATCGTGTAATTAATTGGATCTTTTTTTATCAACCTACAGTAATATTTTAAATATATACTGTATGTTCCCCTCCCCCACGTTATGAAATAGCTCACAGCAAGGAAATGTCTAAAACAGAGGAAACATCACATTTGTTGAGCAGGCTGTGCATTATAATAAGAGGCAATCCAGCACTATAATTTGTTTTCGGTTGTGAAAAGCGACAGTGGCAATGTTCTTTCAAGCGCATGAAGCTCTGAGACATGCGCTCTTATCTATTGTCTGTTATGAGGCTCGCTATATGTTCTAGTGAAATACAAACACAATTCAAACTAATGTGAGCCCAAATCATAATGATATACACGCAAGATACAGTAGCAATTTATTCAAGTAAAAAATAGGGCTGCATGTGAATCCCTTTTTTTGTAAATATTTAATCGCAAATGACTTCTGTGGTTAATCATGATTAATTGCACATAACATATAAATATATTTACAAATTCAATCTGTATCTTATGATAAATTTAAACTTCAATCATCCTATAAAGCTATAGTAATAAAAGTCTCGGTTGTTTATTATTTATGAGAAGTAACTCCAGATGGTGTTCCTCTGTCTTTGTCATCACTATCTGCTCTACTGTTGGAATGGGAAATACTTCTCCTAAATGTTTTATTTAGTAATTATTTTACTTCATTTACTGATTAAAACATTTACTGTGTGGAAATTGATCCTTTCTCCTGTATATAATGTCAGTATCACAAGTTCTAATAGTTGGTATAACATTCATGGATAACATTTTAATGCAATTCAGTACAGCATCTAGTATTAAAGGCATATATATATGCTCATAATCAAAGGCTCAGGAGGTGAAAAAAACAGATGATGCATTAAACGCATTAATTTTTTTTTTTTTTTAAATGTACCTAAATTTCCCTCCAGTTCCCAGCTGAAATGAATGCTGGCGGCAGTAAAATCTTGCAACTTTTATTTCTTTTCACACAAATTATAAATGGTCAACAGGGGTAGGTTACTGATTAATAAAGCTACTTTTCTATATGGTTACTATGACCTCAAAACACCTTATAAGTACATTTTGATGTTAGTATCACATAATCAGCTTTGTATAACTTAAGTCATGATAAATTAGCTCAAAGAGCAAATGTTTCTTTTGTTAACAGTATTGGTTATAGGTTTAGGGTAGGGTTTAGTGTTTGAGGTACGTTATTTGGTACGCAAATGCGGTAGAGCATTAAAGGGTCATTCAGCCTCTGGAAAGATGAATGTGTATTTAAAATGGGTCATTTATGTAGAAGAAATGTGAAATTATTTTTGAATTTGGAGCTTTCTAGACTGAGAAAAGCTAGAAAATGTATTTTTGGCTTATATGGATGAAAGACAACAACTCCCAGAATGCACTTGCTTCACTGCCCTATGAGGCCACGCCTACCGGTAACAGAGCGCAGTAGTTAAACAACAAGTCTAGGCAACTAGTGAGTCTCCGTGATGAGTCTGCCCGAAAATGTGTTTCCAGATCGCCTAAAATGTCCAGGATTCGGCTTTTGCGTTCTACAGTCGCCATCTGTGGCGAGTGGGCGAGGCTAAGGGCCGCGGGAGAACGGCGAGAGGCCGGTGGCGTTATTACCGTGATCACCTGTGAGACGCACCGGTGTCGTATCTCTCACGGAGGAGCGGGACATTTCTTAGCAATGTTAAAACGCACTTCAACCGATTACTTTTTTTAGCGTTCATGTAAACACTGCATTCAGATTCGCCAATCGGAATGAATTCAGTTAGATTGAAACAATGCATGGCGACTGCAGAGAGCAAAAGCTGAATCCCGGACATCGACGGCCGGACATGTCCGGGAAAAAGAGGACGGTAACCCCTAAAGTTACTACTCGGCTTTCTCCACAGAACAAGAGCCTGCTAGCTTAGCTTCCAAAAAAAGATGGCTGACACTATGTAATCGCAATCCTCCATAATGCATCCTTCTGCGTATTCAGTACCTTCGTCCATATTTTCAAAAAGTTTCTGCCGGTGAAATCAAACGCACTAGCACTGATCTGTGATTGGTCTGTTAACGCATTAGGTCCAACCCCCTATGGGCAGGTTTGAAAGGGTGGGAACTAGTGCTTGTAGTCTTTACAGTAACCCCCCCACCCATACACTTCCTCTTACAATGACGTAAAATGACGATTTTTGCGTCATTCTAGGAGAAAGTGAAAAAGGTAAATAGCAGATTTCTCTCGTCTCAGGGGAAAATGAGAGAGTGTTGCACGACCATTCAATAGTATGATTGGGTTTCTAACAATGGAAAGCTTAATGCAAATGGGTGGAGTGTCCCTTTAACATTTACGTTTAGTTTTAATTGATCCGTTTCGGTTCTAACCGAACATGCGTTTTGCACCACTTTGAACTTTAAAAGTGTTGTGAAAATGGCAAGAAGCAACATTCTGTATAAATGTCATCATAGACATGTTTTCCAATGAGCCTGGGTTGAACCAACATCTCATATTTAACATTCATTTTCTGTTCTTGCACAGAATTTAATGGGAATAAAATAGTAATTTATCAATACAGTTCAGTGTTAAAAATTCATAAATCCAGCCTCCATGCCACCCGTATTCAACACAAGTATGCATATAAGTATATCTTCTGATTTTTCTGCCATTTAATTGGAGAATTATCTTGGAGAACTCATGCAATGATGCTTTACAATCTGGTTAAAACAAGATATCTTTGTCTATGATGCCTAAAAATGCTAGGTTTTGAAATCCGGTAAGTTTACACTAAATAATTTGTCAATAACTGCTTATTTAACCACATACTCTCCAAATCAATTGACAATTCTGGTGGCACAAAAGTAGCCTGAAAACAGGACAACAAAGCTAACGTACTCCTTTAAGTTTGACTTGGACATCAGATCTGTCAATAGCAGGATCAGGATAAGCTAGCTGGAGAGAATGGGATAGAAGGAGATAACATAGAGAGAGCTCTTACTTCTGACACTGAGGCTGAATAGGTGCTGCTTCAGCTCTGAGGGAGATCTGGCAGTGAAAGCTAATGGACTCCACATCGACTCACTGGATCTCTGTCCTGCTGTTTGACTGTCTGTTGTTTGCCAGACTGCGAGAATGCTTCTTCTCATTGAGTTGATGTCTGAGAATCAGTGAGATGCAACCGTGTACGTCCTGAGCGACGTTATTCCAGAGGAGATTCCCGGTCCAGGAGATTCGTAAGGACTATCCAATCAGTTGAATCATTGAAATCAGCAATAATAGGCTGACCTTTTGTCAATAAAATGGCCCTCAAAATGGAAAAACTATTAGATATCTCACCCACGTTCCTCATGGATTCCAACTAACCAGTTGGGTTGCGAGCCAGTACTTCAAATCCGCTTTCACGTCACGCAGGCTCATAAAATATCTGACTTCTCTTCCTCACTCAGAATTAAAAGCCACAAAACGTTATTTGTAATGATGTGCCATTGTTCACTGTCATTGGCTTTAGGAATGAAGAGTCCTCAGATGTCCTCGCTAACTGAAGTGGAGTCCCTTCCAGTCAAGGAAAAACCACATTCATTGTTTTTTTCTTTAGTCCAAAGGGAGGTTGTTCTGTAGACAAAGCAAAAAGGGAAAATTCAATATAAGCTAATAAAATCAGAAAATCAGATATAAGCTTATAATTTTCAGTGATGGCAGCTTTAAAGATACATCACACTGACAGTCCAGTTCTGTTGATGTTTTGTATGAAAAGAAATGGGTCATTTGTTAAAGATGGATTGGGAGTGAATGGATTCCAAGAAACCAGGGCAGCGTTTTCCCAAAAGCATCGTTGATTGTGTGAAGACCATTACCACCAATGTTCTCTGTGATCAACTTAGCTTACAATGCTTTTGGGAAACACAGAACAGTAAAACCTTGTTTAGGTCATTAATCTGCTCTGCCGGCTCTAACCAGCCTAACCAATATGAAACATCTCCACCATAATCGTAATTTAGGGTGTGTATACGCTTGTAGTTCGGTTATCTTGGTTCTTTTGGTCAGAGCCAAAAAAGAAAATGATACATTTAGTCCCGGTTCGCTTAGTGTTTCACTCTGTCATTTTAAACACCAAACCTGAAGATACAAAAAAAAATAATAAAAATTGACGTATATTTTGCGTATAAATGCCTGTTCACACCAGGACGAATTTCGCACGCGTTTTCCGCCAACGTTTAACGCCTCGTGACTAAACAATGGACGCCAATGTGGGTGTGCACACCAATGCGTAAAAGCGTCATTTTTTTAAAAACGCCTCGGGTTCGTTTTTTTTAGTTTGACGACGCGCGTCAAAAACCATCCAACCAATGAGATTGACGCTTTTGCTCACGTGTTTGGAGCTTCTGAAGTTACAGTAAAACACAACTTGGGGGCGCTCAAACACAAAACGGTCTTGCCGAGCACATTTATGCAACGGCGAAGAAGATATACGCAGAGTAGCGTCGCCGTTTACACTGTCAGGAAGAAATAAGTCGAGGAAGATGCGAGGCAAGATGAATGTAGAGCTGCTGGTCTCGTTGGTGTTAGAACATAAAGAATTATATGACAAACGCGACAGCGACTACAAACATCTTGATAAAAGAAAACTGATATGAAGTGGTATTGCCGAGCAAATTGGCGCCATCTAATGTCAGGGAATGAATTTGCACGTTCACTCGGCTCATCGTCAGCGAAAATCGCTTGGGTGTGAACACAAAAAACGCGTTGGAAAACGCTGCCGAATATAAACGCTGGGCCTTAATGCTGTGTTCCGGGCTAAATTTCCCTTTTTCAGGAGTCTCGGTCCACTTGTTTGGTGTGCACTAGGGTTCAGATGGCAGTGTTCACATTTTATCATATAAACTGAACTAACAGAGAAATCGCACCAGAGTTTGTTTTAATCAAACTGAACCCACCAAGTGTGAACACACCCTTAGAAATCAAGTGTATTTATATAGCGCTTTTCATATGAAAATCATATGAAACCAGATGTTGCTGATCCTAGTGTTAGTTCTATTTCCCAAATTCTCTACATACTATACACACAGTCTTATAAGTTCTACTGTCTTCCATACCTTAAATGTATTTCTCTCAAAGAATTTCAGTAATTCAATCGACTATTTTCCCAAATATGTAAGAGTGCTATGCATTCTGTGTTTTTATAAATTTTTTTAGCTAAGCAACATGCTAATGTCAAAATATGCTGGAATACGTTGTGAATTGGCAATTTGTGTGGACCAGGATTGCTGCATATTAAGTTTCAAATCACACATTTTCATTTTAGTTTACATAGGATGCTGCATGCATGCCTACATTGTAAAAAAAAAAAAAAAATCAAAGTTGCTACTTCAAAATGTCATATTTCATTCAGTGTCTTATTTATAATTATTTGTGAATTCTTCTTAAGTGTACTGTATGTATGCAGTAGACACAAGGCATTGGAAGCTACTGAATATGTGTTTGTGTGCAGGCTGATATATCATCTGAACAGACAGTGTGAATGTACAATAAATAACTGCCTGTTTTAGAGTTACTTGTATATATACACCCAAGAACAAAAATAAAACAATTGATGACACAGACATATGCAATGTAGAACGAATAATTAAACAGCATACAGATATTAATTTAATGCCAGACTTTAAGACTTGAATATTGGCAAGTGATCAGTTATAATGTAAAGAGAGATTGCTAGTGGATGTGTCTCTGGGCCTTTTAGCGACAGAAGATTTCAAAGTCTGTCAGTCATTCTTAATACTGACAGTCGCTTTCAATAGAGTTCAAAATCTGCCAATAAAACGTATCCATTCGGCCAGATGCCAGACTGCTGAATAGCTATAAAAATGCTAAATTTAATCTACTAAAATTGAATCCTCTGACCTCTAAAATCCAAAGGGTAAGAAAAGCCATCTTAAACCGTACAAAAGAAGAAACGCCAATATTCAGAGTGTTTCAGTATTTCAATGTCTTCCAAAAGAGTTAAAAGGCCCAGGGGAAATAGGTTGCTCTTTTACCTAATGGAGTTCTCTGATATTTTATTTCAATACAGGCAATTAAATAGTTCATTTAAATGCGTTCCATTGTGTTCTTCTTAAAATTTATAAACAGAAATAAAATCAGAAACAAAGACAAACCAAAGAAAAGTCAAATGTTGGCATATCCCATAGATATATACATTAGATGTCGCTTTGGCTAGGGTAGTTTGCGTCAATAGAGCCGCCATCTTGGAACAGGGGAGCCCCTCCAATTTAATGCATCAACGTCAATGTAGTAGACAAAGGTCTAACGGAAATAAAATCACCATTAATCATCATGAATGTGATTTTGTCTTTTTTTTTTTTTTTTTTTTTGGTTCGTTCCAATGGTCAGACATGTATTTGTCATTGATCCAGAAATATCCAGAAAAAATGTAAAAAAATAAATAAAATAAAAGTAAATTTAAAAAACATAATGTTTGGAGTTCAGGCTGAATACTCTTGGTGTCTTGGTCAATCAGAGCAGTTTGTGACATTGTCATTGCTGAGAACTCTTCAGAAACTCAAGAGACGTGAGATTACTAGAAGTTTTCTCTCTCTCTCTTTTTCAGGAGACTTAAGCAAATGCGTTTAGCAAATGCATTTAATCTCACTGCTGTCTAGTAGATTAAGATAATTAAGATAATAATCATCTCATTATTTCATCATCTCATTATTTTTTCTTTCCATTGGGAAAGTGTGCCCTTCAACAAAACATTGTGGTTAACTGAAATCTGTGATCTGCATTGAAGTTGCAAGTAACTTTTTAGCAAATTAGTCATATTTATCTAAAAAATAACTTATAACACTTTTATCTGTCAGAAACTGACCCATGCATGGTGTATATGACAGTAAAATAGTTAATCTGGTGTATATGTCAACTGGAAATGAAACTTCAGTTCTAGCCTGAACAATTCGGACGAATTTTATGAGGTTGCTAATTCGTAAGAATTCATACGACCTCACTCATGCAAATCCGTACGATTTTTGCTAATTCGTACATATTTTACGAGTTACCAAATTCTTATGAATTCGTACGAATGGCCTACCCCTCGTCATACGACTTCGTACACTGTAAAAAAAATATTGATGGTTTAACTTGGTTGTCTTAAAATTTTAAGTTCATTGAACTGGAAAAAGTGAGTTAATACAATGAAGGAGATTAATTTAACCATCAGAAACTCAAAATTATATGTTATCTGAACTAAATAAATTATTTAAGTTCATTTGACAAAAGAAAAAATGTTGTGATTACTACACTGTAAAAAAAATTGTTGGTTTAACTTAAAAAAGTAAGTAACCTGGGTTGCTTTAAAATTTTAAGTTGATTGAACTGGAAAAAGTGAGTTAATACAATGAAGTAGATTAATTTAACCATCAGAAACTCAAAATAATAATTTATCTCAACTAATTAATTATTATAAAGTTGATTTGACAAAAGAAAATATGTTGTGATAACAAATCTTGAAAATATTTTTTACAGTGTACGAATTAGCCACTCGTACGAATTCGTACAAATTGTTCGTGAGATAGTATTTTTAGTTCTGTTGTATTGAGAGCAGAGGAGATAGAAACATTTTAATTTACACAGAGCTCTGCCTGTGATCTCAACAATTTGCATTTCACATCTGGATATTATTTCACACTATATGAAGTGAAAATGAAAAAATATATATATATATATATTAAGACCATTGATAATGTGATGCTCTGCGATGTTATTTTCCTGACATTTAATCCAACCAGAATTTTAATTAGGATTTTTTTTTTCTTTTAAGCTTGTTTGTTCTCATTGATGATTCTCGTTAGGTTTTATTACTGTAGTACAGTAATAAAAATTCATACAGCCTGAGACACAATTATATTTTAAATTAAAATTAGCATATTGAAGGCAGTACAGTAATTACTACCATGATATATATTTTTTCTTGAATATTACATTACAGCATTATATAGTAATGAGAATTCAGGGAATGGGTTTAAATGTCATGAAAATAATGCCACAAGGCAAAAAAGTTAAGGATTCTAGTCTTCATTTTTTTTTCTCTCTCAATCCTTTCTCTCTCTCTCTCTGTGTGTGTGTGTGTAAAATAGCTTTGAAAATAGCTTAGAAAATAGCTTACAAATCATACTAATTTATGTTTTTTGAAAGTGTAAAACTTTGGAATAGAATATACAGATTGTACAGTATAACTAAATCATTATGTCTATGGAAAGATTGCTGGTTATTATTAATATCCTTGTGAGAACATTTGATCCCCATAATTTGGGGAATACCTGAACGACACACACACACACGCACGCGCTCCAGTGCGTCAATTCTCAATTATCATTTAGAGAGGGATGAGAAAATGAACAGAATCGATGAAGACTGAGTGGGAGATGTGAACTCTGAATACATTGGAGGCTGGAATTACAGTAAGATGGAGGAACGTTTGAATTAATTGGACACAGAACTCATATACTGACAAGAAACAGCGCAGAAACCCGAGAGAACCTGTTTCACAGTGTGTGCGTGCGTGTTGAAACCATAAAACAAAAATGTGAGAGCAGTAGAGCGGTAATAAACCTCCAGCTTTA